GCCCGTGTCACCTCAACAGAGAGATTTCGAAGCCCATGGACCTGACACGGGCTGCGACACGGACGGTGACACGGGCAGAGAGGCCGTGTCGCGCGCGCAGGCTGCTTTTTATTTCTTGCCTATTTTGAAAAGGAGAAGGGTTTTGGACAATATAAAAGGCATATTCACCCTATTTTGAGAGGGGGGACGTGAGTAACAAGAGGGGGAACCCTAGAACACACAAGAGAAGCAATTAGGAAGCAAAAAGAAGATCCAACTACGAAGGAATCAAGAAGATTGAAATATCGACGAGATTCCTAGTTTTTCTTTCTTCTTTCTTTTGAACTTTTATTTATCATGTCGATTTCTAATATGTCTATGTATTTGAATTCGAATATGAGTGGCTAGTTTATTTGATTCTAGGACTTGGTAGTAGATTAATATGTTGGGATTTTGGATAATTTATTTACAATTAATTGTTTTTCTTTTGAACCATATTCAAATATTTTGTTCTTATTTCATGTATAGCACTTGATCAATTCTTTTACATGTTGGACAATATTGTTCATAATTCGAGAGATGAGTTTAATATTAGGTCTTTAATATTTGACACAATTTACTTGATTGAATCGAGAGATTAGTAGGTGGTTGTGAGGATATTAGATCTTTTGTTCTATTTGGAGTTGAATTGCATGTGTTGAGTGGAAACGTTAATATATGTGATTTAATCTACGGTTTTATCGATCTCGTGAGGGACGATAAGCTAAATTTGTGATCATCTTATTGGGTAGACAAAGAAAACCTTTAGTTGTGATATTTTTGAAGGAACCCAACTGTTAATTGAAACTACAGTCTTAGAATCTATCATTCTCATTTGTTTTACTTGTTCTTTAGTTAATTCTTTGTTCTTACGTTATTTCCTTTTGATTTATTTTCTTAGTTAGTTAATCCATCCAATATTCGATCGTCTAAATAAAATTGACATTATCATAATCTAGTACTTGATATATTGATTATTTGGTCTCTTGGGATACGACCTTGTTTGCCACATACTACGAGCGAAACCGTACACTTGCGGTCGAGCTTTAAAAATATAGGAGAACAATGAACACATATTACAAACTCTTAAATAACACATTTTTTCTCAAAAGAAAAAAAATATTTGAACTATTACTTACAATTACCATTTGATTACTTATTTTGTACGCTTTGGCATTTCAGATATTGTATCATTATAAATTCTATCACTATGTTTCATGTGTTAGGTCTTTGCCTCATGTGTTCTCTATTAGTGTAGCTTTAATATTTTGGTGTGAAGTACAATAACAATATTTATATGTGAGAAATTTGGTATTATTTTATGAGAGAATTTGCATATTTTAGTATTGAGTTAAGTGTATTATTCAAGTTTTCTCACGTATTGTATTTTGTGAATGGACATACACCAATATTCGATTTTGTGTCTATTTTGCAGTTATTACATCTATTTGTAACCTGGCATTATTTGGAGGATTAGGAAATAATTAAAGAAGCATGCTGGAATGGTGGACTTATGTGGCGGCAGGGTAGAATATTTCTAGGAGATGGACTCTTAAGTTTGTTGGGCTAAGGAATTGGAAGGGTATTTCAAAGTGGTGGGACTCTTAATTCCTATCTTTGGGTGGCATAAAACATGGGGAAAAGAAAAAAATTAATTCATTCATGCTGGGACTTATGTACGTGAACAGAGTGCTACCAGGAGAGAAGAATTGAGTTTCGGGGAGCTGGTTATGCGAGAAGACAGTGACATTGGACCGTGAATTATTTGCTGGGAGTTTGCTACTTTATTTTATTTGCTTTTCTTTATTTTGATTGAAGAACTTGAATTTTTATTTTTATTTTGATCATTTAGCTATGTGTAGCTAAGCACTATTTCGGTTCTAGGGACGTTGAACCCTCGATGACTATGTTTGATTAATGCTATTTATTTCGTTTTACTCGTCGTATAAAGTTGATTGTGTTATTTTATTTTCATGTCATAATGTGTGATTTTTAATTTAGCTTGATCACCTAAGTTAGAAATTGCATGTTAATTGCTAGATTTGAGGCTTCGATCCGTAATTGTCGTCGCTCTTATTTCGTTTGTAGCAACTAACAGCCGTGCATTGTTAGGGATAGCACAACATAAGTTACATGAACCGAGCTTATGTGTTTGTGGCTTAGATCGGTCTACTTTCCTAGATTTTAATGCTGACTAGTGGATTAAATTAGGAGAGCTTATTCCGAGTTATTCGCTAGTTAGAATTAATTGAAGAGCCTATTTCGATTAAGTATAAATTAAGGGAAAATTCGGGTAGCAGAGCTTATTGCTATCTAGGACCAGTAGTTTTAGAAAACGAGTGAAATTTGATAAAAGCATTAATTGGGCTAGTTATTTGAGGGTGTAGACCGACATGGGACCGATTCCATTCTCATCTTTGCTAAATTATTTGTTTATTTTCTGTTTTATCATCATTTGCATTCTAGTCTTTTATTTCTAGTTATAGTTTATATTTTTGCTTTGCGAGTAGTTTAGTTTCAAATCAAACCCTCCCCATTTTTATTATAATCTAATTAATATAATAAATTCACTGTTTATACCACACTCCCTGTGGGATCGACCCTTACTCGCCACTACTACTAGTTAATAGGGGTAAGTTAGGAAAAATTATAAATTCAAATTTGTCGTGTAACGATACGCGGTCAAATATTGTTAATAATTATCTTTCAAAATCATAATAATCCGTTACTAATCATACATACATGTGAAGTGGAATAACAAAATTATAATATACAAAAAATCTAAGAGCATATTATTTACTTGTTGCAAACATTTACACTGCCCAACCCAAGTTAAATGGGTTATCCCTATCGTGTTTCGGGCTAAACGGTCCGGGCTTAAAAAACCTTGATTTAAACGGGCTACCAATAAAGAACTCTAACCCTGTTTTTTTGGAAACTAAGTGAGCCGACCCATCGGACCAAGGATCGTTTAACATATCTAGTGAATTTGTAGGGAAACATTAAATTTAATCTATCATTATATAAAAAGAATAACATTTTTACAAATTTAGAAACATTTTCCCTCCAAAATCATTAAATATATTCTACATATAGTAATTGTTAGACAAATCTGAATAGGCAAAAAAATCGGCCATTAATTGTGTAAAGATTTATTTCTTTTTTTCCTATTTTTTAGTTTATCAAAACCGTTGTTTCACAATAAATATTTATTTTTCTTTTTCCTATTTTTAGTAAGAATCTACACGAGCTTATCTCTTTTGACAAAATCTCATTGCATAAGTATCACGTCTCAACCCTTATCTATAGAGATTTGAAAAATAAAATAAAATAGAAACCAATTCATAATTACTACTACAAATTCATTATCTACTTTAAGAAACCAATTTTCATCGGTCTAATTACTAATATTTTTACAAATATTATAAGCTAACCATACAAAAAAGTATAATAATAATTTTGAAATTGTGTATAATCAAATTTTTTTATATTCTCTTTATACAAAATAATTTTACATTGTTTGACCCTAAATCTTTAATTTATAATTATTAAGTACTGTTTATCCTCTTCTTTAATTTATAATTATTTTTTTTCTTCCTTTTTTTAAATAGGATCAATAGTAGTTTACACTTTCGCTATTGAGTGACTCAAACTCGAGGTCTATTTATAATATTGTTAATTTAATATTATTCCCGTGCATCGCACGGGCTACACACTAGTTCAATATGTAGGGAAAAAAAAATATAATGTTGCATTTTTGTTATTGTTATCAGCCTTAAAACAAACATATTAATGAGTCTTATTGTATTAAATGCATAAAGTGATCAAGTCCAATGAAAATTAATTAAGTCCAATCCATTATTGCAACCAAACTTCACTGTATATAATTGGGTTATATATTTGACAACCAAACTTCCCGTGGTGTATAATTTGTTATATATATTTGACAAGCTAGCATGTTTGTGTTTGAGTTGCGCCAGTGATGTAATTTTTCTTTAGTAGGCCAGGATCGCCGTACTAAATATAAATTTTGCCTATCAATCTCTTTGATTGGTCTGTTGGATATTTTTACAAGATCAAATATAATTTAAATATATTAGGCACAAAAACCAAAGTTCCCTCTTCCCGTGGTGTATAATTTGTTATATATTTGACAAGTTAGCATATTATTATTTTTGACACTTTGACTTGCGCCAGCGATGTAATTTTTCTTAAGTAGGCCAAGTTCGCTGTACTAAATATTATATTTTGCCCATCAATGATCACTCTATTTGATTTTTGTTGGATATTTTTTCTAGATCAAATCAATTTAAAAATACTCTTATATCAGTGATAAAATATGTTATATTATATCCCATGTTCACAAGCATAGCGTGGGCCTTGGGAGTGTCGCCACGCGACTCCTAGCTAAGAATATCTAATATTTTTTTATTTGGTGAATTATCCCCACAAGTTGACTATGTTGCAATTCATATATTGCCTTTTGAATATTTTGGCACCATCAATTAAATTGATCTAGATTTTAGTGGAGCACAACCAAAACAATAGTTGACTATGTTTCTTTTCATATGCTGACATATCTCTTCATTGTACATGAATAAATATATAAAAATAATATATAGTACAATGTACAATTGTAAAGCAATCGAACTCGAACTCTTAAAGTCGAATTTGGAATCGAACATTATAAAACCGAGTTGTTAAGTTAACGAGCTGATAACCGAACTTGTGCTTGATTCTTTAATGAGTCTTAACGAGTTGAATTGTGTCAAAAGTTTAGAAAATTACTTAAAAATTCATATTTTCAAGCCTAGTGATCCAAGCAAAAATAAAAGGAGTCTTAATTAAGCTCGAAATCGGCTTGTTAATCAAAAGGACGAAACAGAATTATACTCACGAGCAGCTCATTTCATTTAGCAGTAACCATGTATAAACTCTATTATTAAAAAAAATATAGTAAAAAAAATTTTAGATACAAAAAAGAGGAGCAAATTTATGGTCACACATTTCAAATGGTAGGTCCAGTGGGTTTTGAAAGGAACCTCAATTTCACTATATATATATATATATGTGCTCTTTTGACCTTATTGTTTAGGCAAATAGCTCACAATAACAACATAAATAAAGAAGAAAAAGGAAAGAGAAAAACCATCACACCGTTGAAAACTATTTGCTGCAAACTATGGAGCAAAATCAGATTAATGGTGCCAAGAAAGAGCCAAATTACCGCGGGGTGAAAGCCTTGCCTTTCATCATAGGTAAGTAAAAACTTCATATCATTAATCATGCTAACTCACTGTACAAAGTAAATGATTTTTAGTTACTAGCTCAAAAGCTTCATATTCTTTTGTTGTTTTCGATATATTGAAGTTGAAAGCTTAGAATCACCTTCTTTTTGTATCTTTAAATTTTTTTCGACCTATATAGGAAACGAGATATTTGAGAAGTTAGGTACAATCGGGACGGCGTCTAATCTATTGGTGTACCTAACAACGGTGTTTAACATGAAGTCTATAACGGCCGCTAACGTGCTTAATATCTTCAACGGGACTTGCATGGTCGGGACTTTGTTCGGAGCTTACATGTCCGACACTTATCTCGGCAGATACACGACTATCGGCATAGCTTCAGTCTCATCTTTCCTGGTAATTAAAATTTAAATTGACCAAACAATTGAATTTATTTATTTAGTTTTTGCAGTACAAATTTTCATTTCTTGGCTATAATTTAATTTACGTACCTTGATGTTAATTTGCATCAAATTAGATTAGATAATTACAAGGACAAAAAAACGAGTGCCAACTGCCAATTATTTTTCAAACTTGTATAAATATTTAATTGCCCTATCATTGTCGTTTATATTTCACAACTTGCACAAATAATTGGTCCTACTCTTGAAATTTTGAGCGGGTCATTATTTAGATCCACAAATGTATTTGGATTCCTTTTCTCTTATCTTCATTTTTTTATTTCGTTTCGTCAAAATCGGTTACAACTAGCCTATTCATTTCTCACAAGTGGTTAGCGGTGAACCGAATCGATTTTTGATTGGTCGGAATTGATGAATAGCCTATCTTTATCAAAATTTAATATATTAAAATATATTTTTAACATATATAAAATTAAATATTTAAATATATTGAATACGCATCAATAATTTCGGTATCTGTAAGTTTTCAATTATCTAAATATTTAATTAATGATAATTTTATATAGATTTAATGCATAAAGTATTATTGAAAAGTATCGATTAAACAAAACAACAATTCAATCACGATTCGAAAACTAAACCATTGACTTTATAGCTTCACCATTTCATTAATTGGTCTATTTCGAGAACCTCAAGTTCAAACCTCAACGCGATTCTAGTTCTTTCTGGTGAGATATCGTATTTAGGTGTAATTGTCAAGCATACTTAATTACAACAACCTGAAGTTTGATTCAATGTAAAATTTGTTAATGAAATACTCTGCTTAGGAAAGGGTGAAGTTTAAGATAAAATAGAGAAGTGAACGTTTGCCTTTTTGGGAGTTCATTGATTTCATTATTGCTGTAATTAGGCCAAACTTCAATAATTCTTGAATGCAGGGGATGCTGGCCTTAACTCTATCAGCAGCATTTTCCCAACTACACCCCCCAACATGTGGGCCCGAACAACACACCACTTGTCACGGGCCCTCACCGGGCCAGCTCACCTTCCTATACACCGCTTTTGGGCTTCTAGTGATCGGGGCAAGCGGTATCAGGCCCTGCAACCTGGCCTTCGGCGTGGACCAATTCAATCCCAACACGGACTCGGGCAAAAGGGGCATCAACAGCTTCTTCAACTGGTTCTACTTCACGTACACGTCAGCCATGGTCATCTCGTTGACCCTCATCGTGTACGTGCAGTCCAATGTGAATTGGGCCCTCGGGCTCGGCATCCCGACTTCGCTCATGCTCATGTCCTGTATTTTTTTCTTCATCGGGACAAGAATTTACGTCGTCGTTCGGCCCGAGGGAAGCCCGTTGTTGGGCTTGGCCCAAACGGTGGTGGCTGCGTTCAAGAAACGGAAGTTGGAGCTGCCCGACCAACCGTGGGACTCGTTGTTTAATCATGTCCCAAAAGACTCGATCAACTCGAAACTTGCTTACACGAGTCAACTCGGGTTAGCTGAATTTTTGTTTATTTACTTATTTATTAATTCACCGCGACTTTTTGATTTTCGAGCTGACATTCGTGGTGAATTATGAAATCTTACTTTAGGTTTCTAAATAAGGCGGCAATTCGAACACCGGATGACAATGTTAACTCGGATGGCTCGGCTGCCGATCCTTGGAAACTCCGGAGTCTGCAACAAGTCGAGGAGTTGAAATGCGTATTGCGAGTAATGCCAATATGGATATCCGGGGTCATATACTACATATTCTGGGTCGTAACACAGAACTACGTCGTATTCCAAGCCCTACAAATGGATCGGAGGCTCGGGAGGGGTAGTTTTGTCATTCCAGCCGCGACCTACCAGATCTACACGATGATCACACTGACGGTGTGGATCCCAATCTACGACCGGATTCTCGTTCCATTCCTTCGTAAAATCACCGGTAACGAGAGTGGAATCACGATCCTGCAACGCGTTGGGGCCGGAATGGCGTTCGGGGCACTGACTATGATTGTGTCAGGTTTCGTGGAGAATCGTAGGAGGACGTTGGCTTTTACGAAGCATAATTTGGGATTTGTTTCGAAGAATAGGGCAATTTCGTCCATGTCGGGAAACTGGTTGATTCCTCAGTTGGTGCTTGCTGGGCTGTCCGAGGGTTTCTCTGTAATTGGGTTCGTCGAGTTTTTCTACAAGCAGTTTCCGGAGAATATGAGGAGCTTGGGCCCGTCTATTTTGATAAGCGGGTTCGCGATTTCTAATTATCTGAGTAGTTTTTTGATTTCGGTGGTTCACCAGACGACTAAAGTACGCGATAGGGCTGACTGGTTGGCCGAGGATCTTAACGAGGGGAGATTGGATTATTTTTACTACTTGATTGGGGCTTTGGAGGTTGTGAATTTGGGCTACTTTTTGATATGCGCCAAGTGGTACAAGTATAGGAAAACGGACAGTGGCACGAATGATGTGGCCATGGTGGGAATGTGAGTGTGAAATAGTTCAAGTAATTATAGCCTATAGGTTGTTTGTTGCGGGATATTGTTAACTGTGTTTGTAGTTTATATTACGACTAATAGCACAATAATTATCGTGTTTTGTCACTTGCACTGAGTTATAATAATAATTTTATGGATAATTACATTTTCGCTACCAAAAGGTTGTTAAATTTTAGAATCACCATGTAAAATGTACTTGGGAGCACTTTTGGAAATTATAAAGTTGGCATTTTGGAGATCCAACTTATCAATAAATTTATTTTTAAATTAACACCAAATATTATGAACATTCATACAAATGGATTTTTTACATTCAAAACTTCATTTGAAGAATATTTCCGAAGAAGAGTCAAGACGGAAGTCCATTGGTACGAAGAAGACTTGTAATAAGCTAATAGCTTGATGAATATCATAAGAAATTAATGTGAACCATCTGACCTATTTAATTAGATGTACATAAAAAATTCAATTTGAGTATGAATAATGATTATCAATTTACAAAACTCTAACTCGTATACCATATAGTCTACATACCGATAATGCCACTTTAAGTTTAGTGCTTATTTTCTCTCATCACTATGAAGTGAAAGAGACTGAAAGTCAAATGGTTGGTGGTGGAAAAATGTGTGATCAACACAAGACTTTCTTTCTTGTCTTTCATTTCTTCTTTAAATGATAGACTTTCATAAATAAACACATTTGTACAATTTAGAAAAACACTAGATAACAACTAAATGAAGCAACTACACAACTGAATCAAGTAGAAAGACACTCCAAATAAGAGCATTTACCAACACACCCACAATATTACAATAGTCTCACTAATGAAAACTACAACTCACAATAGGAGAATAAACACCTAAAATAAGTACTAAATAAAACACATCACACACAAACTACAAACTAGCATAACATAACTAGAATAATGTCCTCCCCACCAGCCACTCAGCCAGTCACTCCGAACCTGAAGGCAGAAGCACGTACCAAAGCACGGATCTAAACACTCCCTTCAAATGACGGCTAACCAGATCCAGACCATCGGTCTGCTACCCTCTCAAAGAAAATACATCCGGAAGAACACCAGGAGGCCCTTGTCAATTCCCACCCCCAACACAATCCAATGATTGTAACCCAAAACGACAGGAGCCGAAGACCGCTTCCACTGTAGGTACCTGTCATTCCAACACATGAACAAGGGAGAAAAGGGCGCAAGCCGCATCCCCGGCCGCCGCGTAGACAACGTTCGAAGCCGTCAACAATCGAATCGACGGCGAAAACTACAGCCCACCGCCACAGCCCGCCATGGCTACCTAACACCAGGGAAAGCACCATGCGGTGGATGGGCCGAAGGACACTGGAAAATGCAGCTTCGAAGAGGATTTTGGATTTTTTTTTTTTTTTTTTAAC